GGGAAAAGCGGCTGCTGCTGCAGAGGGCTGGCTTGAAGCAGCCGTGTCCCTTAAGCTAGTAAGGAATGTCCTGCAAAGCAAGGCCCTTGTTACCCTGTGCATAAACATCAGTAAGGACATCCTGATGTTTTGTTGTTGCTGTGGAAGACTGAAAGAATTCTCAGTCTTCAGTTTGCCAAATACATAACAGATTTAATGATGCTTTTTTTAATGAGAGGTTCTCCTTTCTCCATTCTACCTGCTGGGTTTGGTTTGAAGTGGAAAATACCTTGTATAGCTTTTCACTACTTAAATTTCTTTATTTTTAAATAATTCATTAAAAAATAATTCTTTATTTTTATTTTTTTTTGCACAAATATATGTTCTAAACTGCTCATTTTTTCATCTGTCAAATAGAGTTTGGAAATGTTAAAGAAGGAATGTAATGGATGTTTTTTCTTAGCAGATACAATAATTGGCGCTTTGAAAAGAATATGGCATCTCTGTTCCAAAAAAAAGATTGATACTTACCTATTTTGAGGTCTTTTTCAAGTGCATTAACCACAGATAACTTCATAAACATGTCATCCAGATACGCAACTTTATATCAGCATATCTGCAGTCCATGTTAAACCCCAATAACAATGCTTCAGAGTAAGGTGAAAGGAAGATAGCATGCCATAGCTGCAAATAATGGTTACCTTTCAGATATTTAAACTGAAGTTTCAGTATTCTCAATAGTCATAATGTGATATGCAAGAGTAAAATTCTTTTTAAAATATGGCATTAGTACATTAAATAAAAAGACAAAATAAATGGAAACAGACACTATGATTTTCTAAAACTTCGTAATTGGATATACTACAAGTTTCAGCTCAAAGGGGGGATAATTTGAAGTGGAAGTGTTCTTAAGACTTCTGGTGGTGCTGTGGCAGCTTATGATTCTGTATTGGAAAGCTTCTTTTACATATTATTTATAAGAAGTATAGGCAGTTGGCTGTGTCAGCTTTAGTGGCTTTAAAGATTGCTAGTAAAGTTTCCTGGTGTCCTCAAACCCTGTCAAAGGCAGAAGTGATCACAGACACAATATGTTTACATGTTTTGAAAAGCACAGATAGTATTTGTTTGTATGAAATATTTGATCGGCTGTAAACACTAAAAAAAACCAAACACAAACCAACCCACAGAAAATAACCTATTAATGGGAAGTTTGGAAAAAGTTGGTCACTTAACTGTAAATTTCATAAATCCAGATATTGATTTAGAAGACAGTAAGTAATAAGTGTAAATCCACACAATACCTAGATTAAAAGATGTTTTTATATGTAATTTAAATAATACACATGTACATGTTTATTCGGAGGGAAGTTTTGTCTCCGATGAAAAATGAAACGAGAATTTGTAGATGGTCAATTCAGTTAAATTACTCCTGATAACATTGTTTTCTGCTTCTCCTGACAATCCTGAATTCACAAAGAAAACTGTGAGTTTCCAGAGAGATTCCATAAATCCAACAGAAATGCAGCAGTGAAGAGTAGTTTTCCTTTAGTTAAATAGAATTAAATGTTGAAAACAAAATAGTGATAGCTATTGTGTAGAGCGCTTAATCTCCACTGTACTGACTGTGACATTTGGTAATGACAGCTTTGGAAAAATATTTGAAATTGAAATCTAGCAATTTAATTTCAGGATTTACAGTAAGATTGGAAGAAATCTCCCTCTGCAAAGTGCTGTCATCAACAAGGCACCTGTCCTCTTGAAATGTCAATGTTAAAGCCATCTCTTCTGAAACTGGTAAGCAGAATTCTGTGTATGTAGTTTTGGTCTCAGATTTTTATTTTGTAATCTTACTGCCTAGCCATACAGATGTTCAATTCATATTGCAAGAAAGATCAGTGATTATCAAAGTATTTATTTCTCTTAAACTAAGACACAAGGAAAATGTGCCTTGTCAAGTACAAATGCAGAATGAATAGATGTGACCCAGGAAAGGCTGGATGAGAATACAATTAAACATTATCACTTGCTGAACTCTTTCTTGCTGACTGAGAATCTGTATTTTCTACGTGTTTGAGAGCCTAGACAATATTACTTCTGGTTTATATTCAGTGGTTGTTAGCTTTTGTTCTGAGGACACATCCGTAGTAGTAAGAAATTTCCAGAGAGTTAAATTCATTCAGACAAAAACTAAAATTATGCCCTCCTTTGGCTTTTTTCCCCTGCATTCATTAATTGCCTCTGTAACCGAAACGGTCATACACCTTTTAAAGACTCAGGGCTACAGGTTTTGCAAGCAGAATCATCTCATGATGTAGCTGACCCAGAGCAGTGTTGCATCCACTTTCTGATCAATTAGTTTCTCCATATTCCTCTCCCATTGCTGCAAGGACTAGTCAGAGCTGGGGGAAGCTGCAGAGTCCACATCTTCTGTGTCATGTTCATGTGGGGACGCTGGTTGACCACCTTTAACACGTTTCCACTTCATCCTTCTGTTTTGAAACCATACTTTGACCTGGGTGATAAAAAGGAAATAATTAACTTGATGCCTCAATCTGAGCTGTGTAAGCAAACCTATGCATATATATGTGTATCAATAGACAGATGTTTTGTGTAATTCTAGAAGAAGGGGTGAAAGGAACCTCACAAGTTTAAGTAATCCATCTCTCTAACAAAGGCAGGAACAATTCTTTCTAAACTGTTCCAGGCAGATGTTTCTCTGAGACCTGCAAAGGTAGTACAAGTGTTTTGCCTAGAATCTGTCTTTATGTCAACTAAGCACGTCAATCCAATGGGCACAGTGCATCTAATGTCTTTTAACATCTAGTTCATCCAATCTAATGCTTTAGGAATTGTAATTTGCTTCACTTAATTGAGCAATTCCTGTATTGTCCACTAAGCTTTAATAAGGAAACCCTGACTGAGAACAGAAATATCTTTCTCCACGCAACTCTGTATTTTTGTCTTTCCTATCACCTCAAAATACTACCTGATCCAGGAAGAATGCATATATCAAACATATATAATTCTAATAATTCCCTGGTAATCACAGCCTAAGGTGATATCCATATTCCATCTGTAAGCCTTGACATAGCAGTATGTACCAAGGAGTGGTAGTAAACAACAGCTCATTAGATATCAGTTATTCCCAAATGTGTCTTTAGTTTAGATAAACATTACAACATTTATTAACTACTTACAGAAATCTGTAACAAATGTGTTTTAAAAGAATGTGGAGACTTTGTATTAAAATACCTCTGTGCCATTGTAAAAGTACACCCTCGAGTAACATATCTTGCTTTTAGCTTTAGGGAGAAGTGTGGGGAGGAAGAATAAGCTGGGGAGGCAGGGATTCAGGAAGTACTTGTCTCTCGGTGAGATCCAGGTTCACAGCTATCTCATATCTCCTGAGCCTCGTCAAGTAGTTATGGTGGGCAAATTCGGCTTCCAGCTCCCGTAGCTGCTCCTTTGTGAAAGCTGTCCTTTCCTTCCGTGATTTGCTGCTTGTTTCTGCCTTGTTGCTTGAGTTCTGGTTTTCTAAGAGGCAAGCACACATGTGTAATTTGCAGTTACATTGATCCGTGTGAACCTGTGTATTGCAGACATCTGATAGAAACTACTAATTGAAATGCTCAGTAGAAGTTTTAAGAAGTTTGTGTTATGGCCCCTCAAGCTCAGCATGACTTATCAGTGTCGTTCGTCTCAGGTTCAAGGGGACAAAGGTGGGACAGCTCAGAGTCAGGAAGGGATGTGTTGTCAAAACTGCAGAAGTGCAGGCCTGGATCTGTAAGGTCAGAAATGAGCAGCTATGGGAAGGAAGCTCTCATTCCTTGTGATCATCGCATTGAAATACTTTCCTTCCCCACATCTTTACTTTCATTCCTTGTATACATGTTATCACTCTCTTCTGATGTACCAAGCAACAGGCAGCAAAGCTAGCACTTTCTGTATATGATGTGTAATGCGTTATGAGGGCATGGTGATGACCTCTAGTGCAGGGTGTGAGCTAAAGTCACTTAGTAAGCAGATGGCCTGGAAATATTGTGCGTGTGAGGAATATGGTGAAACAAGGAACACCAGACAAACCAGTGTTCTTTGAATTGGCACATGATACTCTAGACTTTGAACTTCTTCTAATCCTTGCTAAATGAAAACTACAAGGAGGTCTGGTATCTGTGTGCATGATTGGCCTCAGTATCATCCTTGTCACCGTGCTGCCCTGAAAAACTTCTTTGGTATTTGTGCACTTGGCAGCAATGTGCTCAAGAGTCATACTTCAAAGCCAAATTTAAAGTCGTAGCCAAAGGGATGCCACACCAATTATGCTAAAAAGCAAACACAAACTGACTTTGCCTGACAAAGCCTGTGGCAATCTTTTTTTTTTTTCTTTCATTTTCCTTTTTTGAAAAAAAAAAATTATTTATTTTTCATCTCCTGTGCTTTTAAAACTGGTGCTTGTGAAGAATCTCCAAACAATGCAAGGAAAAATGTCCTCATTTCAGCGAGCAAAGCCCAAACTGCCAATCTTTCAGAGAGTCAGTTTTACCAGCTCCTTGACTCTTTCTCTCCTCTTGCTCCTGTGATTGGCTAGATTCCCTGATCTGAAGATACTAGTAGGTTTTTTGTGACGGTGACAATTAATTACTTAATTTTTGTGTGTAACTAGTGTGCAATGAAGGTCTGTGCGTCCTAGCATAATATTTGTACATAGAAATTTTATACAAAATGGTAGAAAGAGTACAAACTGCAGTATCATCTTCTAGATGTCCCTTTGGTTGCCAAAGTAATAAACCTGGAAGAATCTGTCAAGTGTGACTGTAGGCTTCATGACTGATCTGATCTTAGCTCCGTCCATCAGAAACGGAGAAGTCAAACATAGCTCCCATTAGTGATAATGTGCACAGGGACTAATGCATCACATGCTGCAGCTGTATTGCTCCCCATTTCAAGGAAATTAGACTTGTTTGCATCAACGATGTTCTTGCTACTTATTCTTCAAAAATCCCCAGATAAAGTTGGGGAAAGTATGAAAACAAACCCTGCAAGTTTCTCCCCATGCTTTTGCCCATAATTGTACAATTCCCTTCATTCTCATCTCTTACTGAACAAACACACTCTTACATACTTCCCAAAGGCTGACAAACGCGACTTTTGAGAGAGTGGTGGGGAAGCGGGGTTTGAAGTGTGGATCCCCTGCTGGCAGCTTTGCCACAAGCTTCTGGGAACCTTGGTCTCAAGGGCTTCCCCCTGGGTCTCTGCTCCCCTAGCAAACACGTGGAGCAGTGAAGCAGCTCTGCAATGCCAATAACTCCCTGCAGGAACTAAAGCCACCTCCATCAAGTTAACCTGGGATAAAAGTAGCTAATGCAAGCTGAATAAATATGTGAGCTCTCTGCTTAGCCCTGTGCAAAGGACGTCCTTTCTAAGAGGCGATTTCACCAGTCTTAATCTCAAAAACAATGTTTAAAATAGCTAAGTATTTCTGGGAATAGAGCAGGATGTGTAGCTTGGATCCTGTCATCAGGCTGCATGCCACATGGTGTTGTAAAAAGATATATGGTTATTCATGGCTGCAGGTTTTGTGATATTTGAAAAGTGGAAATTGGTCCTAGTTGCCTCAGAGTTTTGACAACAGAATGTGGAAAATGGCAAATGTTGCGTGAAAGGACAAATTAGCTTTGAAAAATTTTCCTACTGTACTGCCAGTTTAAAAAAAAACCCACAAACTGCTGCTCAGAAATCACAGGAAGGCCAGTGTCTCTACCATGGAGCATGCATACTTGCAGGATCCCACCCAGTTTCATTGTGGTTGAAGTGAACCACTGCATTTCTCTAGGGCTGCAGCAAAATATGTGTAGGAACCCAAATGGTACATGTTCCTATAGTATAAAGTTTCCAAAACAAAAACCGTGTCAGGCATTAATATATATACATGGGTGTATGAAGAGGCAACCCGTTCCCTGCAAAACAACAGGCCAAATTCAGCATTTGGAGCTGGTCAACAGAAGTTGGCTTTGCTTTGTGTTTACAAGCAGCATAACTGAATCGGAGTCTGGTCACGTGAAGTAGTACTTACTCTCCCTCACTGGGTTGAACTGATCTACTAACAATGGTCAGTAAATAATGCTTTGGAGGAAGGCATAAGGACTTTGTGCTGTGCAGATACAGGACTTTGGCACCACAGAGGGTACTTCTGTTGCTCAGAGAACAGCTTAGGCACAGAAGTACAGAGGTTGCTAATGCCTTCACATGGAGGATCCTACCTGCTTGTTAGATGCTTGTGGTGATCCACAGCCCAGATCAATGCACCTCCTGTTATTCTGCAAACTGCCATCGATGTGTGCAATTTTCCCCTCAGTAGAAGGAAGTAAAATAGACATACGAAGCATCTGCACAATGTTACTTTTTTCCCCATACTAAAGACTTTGAGGGCATATTTGTTCTGAGTGATTAAATCAAGTGGTAAGACACTAATAGTTTTTCATGTTACGAAACATAAAATTCTGAAAGCTATCAGGAACATTGGCCAAGTAAAGTGACCTCATAAACAGTGGATTCATTTGACAGCTGATGATAAGGTATTCAGAAGTTACTTCAATGTGCACCTCATGGACTAATGCTCAATGGAGGGTGCACGCAGGGGGCTCTGACACGTGATGTTCTGCACCCAGAACACTTTAAACTGAGCAGGGACTTGCCTGTGCATTGCTTTTCAGTCCTTCTCAGGTTATCTGCTGCTCCCTGCTGCTGTCTGCTCTTACTTACTGCTTTTTATGCCACCATGACTTCAAATGGGAATCGCAAGCTTAGAAAATCCTCTTTACAGTTAGCGGCAAGACTGAGAAGAGTTGGCAGGCAGGAATTCACATCAGCTCTACACATTTTAATACAAAGTTTTCCAGAGTTCTTCAGTCAAGTGTTAAGGGAGCTATCACGCACTGTTATCACATTCTCATTTCTACTGCAACCTCACTAACATTCTGTATTGTTACATTCACATAAAATAAAACTGTCTGAATTCTGTTATATATTGTATTACGATTGCTGGAGAACTAGGGACTTCAGATGCATGATAATGCAAGTACAATTTAGCACAGGTCAGACACAAACTTTTATGAAAATTTTATTTGAAAATGTTAACGGCTGTGGCTTGTGGATGGACAGCGCGGGCAACTGTCAAAGCTAACACTAGATTAACTTATATCTTCAGGTCGTTTGGTGAGCCTGTGAAGACTTCATATGGCATCTAAGTAACTAAAGTCTGTAGAGGAAGGGAAGGGGGTGTGCGTGTTTATCCACAAGTATTTGTAGTAGATGCCACTGTTGTTATTACCATAACAAAGCCATTTAAAAAATGTTTTTAATATATCTGTGCTTCAAAGAAAGTTTTAGAGATTGACAAACTTGTTTATTATTTTTACACTGTTCTGCTTATTTGTCTGAGAAATATGCTTACTTTAGACTTTTCTCAGAACACTCTGCAAAGAGCCATGTTCCAAAATCTTCACTGTGTACATTGTAATAACTAGGGTCTTCGCAAGAACCAAAGGTTTTGCATGCACTAGTACAAATCATGGTAATGCTGTATCTATATTGCAATTCAGGTAAAATTGGTGATGGATAAGGCTACAACTAAAGGAAAATAAATTATTTTGTAGGTCAAGTGATTTCAATATATTTTTCTTTACTAGCCCAATCTCTGCAGAGAAGGTTCTGGGTACCTAGATTTTTTTCTAAAAAGTCAAGTAAAATTCTGAAGAGGAGAGAAAAGAGTTATGTTCTGCTTAGAATAAACAATTAGTATGTGATGTGTCTAGCTGCATTTCTAGAACTGCTGTAAAAGTGAAGAAAGTCACAATAAAATAGCTCATAGACTTTCCCCTCATTCGTTTTATTTCGTCTGAGGACAGAAGGAAGGAAGAGCTTGCAGGAGGCATATTAAATAATTCTATCTGCTGTCTGGTAAGTGAAGAAGGGACTGAAATGAAAAGCCATGGAATCCCCTGTGGGATGTTTTAATTATTCTGCATTTGCTAAAGTAACAACTTGTACAGACAGCAACAGTTGCTAGAAGACAGGAAACACCATACCTTTCAGTGATGTCATTGCTTACACCTCCACTGTAAGGAAAAGTATACGGGACAGCAGCAAGTATGAAAGGAAGATGTTAAGGGTGCTGGTAATAGAGAACAGAAGGAACATTTGTCTTCTACTTAAAACAGGGAGATGTGCTTTGGAATCAGTCTCTTTAAGAATAACGATATCTCTCTAATCTGAGTATACTGAAATCTGCTGTTTACCTACGAGTAGCAAATGTTAGAATAAAAGCGTTGTTTGCTTTTCCTTTTTTTTAAAAAAAAACTTCTTTGCACTTGGATTTTGGGGAATTTTTTGCTCCAAACATGCTTTTTCAATAGAAATGAACTTAAATTCTACAAAGCTGAGTTTCTAAAGAAAAAAATCTGATAGCTGAGGGGAGTAAACTAGATTCTGGGCATAAAGAGGTTTGGAATATTAGTTTATGTGTTCCCTAACAGCCTATTCATATTGGAAGAGAACAGAGATTAGGACTAATTGTGTGACAGGGAGAGCACGAATACAAGCTCGTTGTTTAAACTGCAAAATGGAGAAATGAAAGTTGGATTAGAGGTGGCTCTTCTGTAGCCAACCTGTAAAATCTACAAATAAATAAATAACTATTTTTATTGCTACGTTCTCTACCTGTAAAATGGAGATACTGGCAGATGCTCCTCACTTCATAGCTGTGGCAAAAGGCATACTGTAGCTTATAAATGAATGCTATAGCACGTGAATGCATATATGCATCTTAATTTTTAACAGCTTCCTTAGGAGAAAACAATTTTATGCATATTTCACATATCTGGATTTGAGACAGTGGCAAATCAGAGGTTATATAACTATGAAATTATTTAATATTGCACTGTAGAATGAATGCGTTTTGCTAGCTAGGATGACACAATGAAAACTGCCTACGTTTTCTGCATTCTTGGACACTGTACTGATGGGCAAACTTTCACTACCTCTGGTTTCAAGATAAAAACATTTAATATTTAGTGAGGCCAAACAGAATTTATATCTAAAGGGAGACTTCGCATCTTGTACTTCTTACCATAAACTGAGATGTCAAAATCTTAGTCTACCGTTTCCAACTAACACAGGCAGCTCAAGATGAGGGATCTTTCCTCTTTGATGGACAAATGGCAAGTATGCAGTCTATAACTCCACATTCTAGGACTTTCAGCTCAGTGTACATGCCACGTGATTCCTGTTTAGTTACAGCAAATGTGCATTTTGCTGGTGAGTAAAATGCCTGGTTCAGTAAACAAGATCTGCAGGAGTGAAATACAAACACCAGAGGTCATCAAAGAATAAGCCATTTAGTTTGAGTATCCTATTGTGTATTTTTCCCCAGTCAAGAATTGCAAAACGTTTTCCTTGCCAGTTTTATTTAATTCCTAATCTTACAGGTCCTCTCATACTATAGCCTGTACTATCCCAGAACCCTGCTTTCGTGTCACCTACCTGAGTTTTCCTTTTTTCTTTTGGACGACTTTTTCTCAGTCTCATTTGTAGTATTTACTGGTGCCTCTTCATCTTCATTCATACCCACGGCTGCACTCACTAGATTTGGACTGCTGCCTTCTGACTCCCCAGAACCCAAGGCCAGTCCTGGATTTAGTCGCCTTCTGGCCTCAGTTGCTGCCAAATGCCAGTCAGAGTGTTGGAAAGAGGGGTGCTGCTCCACAAATGCCCACTCCTCACGTGGGAAGCTGTGGGGAGCAGTCACCAGGCAGGAGGTTGAGAAATCGGAGTAAGTAGCAAAATCTGATTTTTGATGGAAGAACGGTGCTGGTGGATAATGGTTCAGCCCCGAAGCTGTGGTGACATCCGCATGGGTGCTTCGCAGGCACCCCCAAAGTGGGGCAGGAGGTTGTGGACTGCGCATGCAGCTGCTGCTGGTGGGATCCATTCGCCTCCAATCCTGTCCACACTCCAATGTTCGTGACTGGTTATAGCTCAGGCTTCAAAATCAGAAGAGGAGCAGAGGGGAAACCTTCCAAAATTTACAGAATGGGTTTCCTCCCTAAACAGCAATTTGTTTGTGGGTTTTATGCTGTTGCAGATTTGTTACTCTGGGAACTCGTCTCAATGTCTTCATTGTCCCAACTGGAAGACAGTAACCAGACTCATGCAGTGGTTGCCCTGAATTGCTTCCTAAGGCCTGCAGCTTGCTTCCTTGTGAAGTGCTGGACATGTGTGAAACACTTTTTAAATACTGTGGTGGGGAGAGAGTGACAAGTTTGTGAAGTGAAATGTGAGAGAGGGGAGGGAGGGGTTAACGTACATACACTCAGCCCCTCCAACCAAAGCAAGGCAGGCAACTATTAATCATCCGAAACCTTATATGCACATCTAATGGGATTCGCAGATGGAGACTTTTA